GTACTCTGGTTCTGTACTCGGATAGTTATCGTACTCCTACTGTACAATCACTTCAGCACTTCGATATATCGACAGTCAACTTGGTACCGCTCAAGGGACGGTAGCACTGCCCAAATTTCGACGGAATCAAAGGCTTTCTCATAGTGCAAATACGCAAGGCAAAGTGACAAGACAAAGAAAAAAAGAAAATTACAGAAGACTCTTCGTTCCTGTATAACTTGCCGAAGGGTAGTATGTATGGTACTAAAGCCATTCCGGAAACCGGCTTTTTCGGGAGGCTGAAAGTCGTAGAGTCTTTGAGGAACTTCAAGTACTGGTTTTACACTCGTTTTCAGAAGCTCCGCTGTACTTCCATCCTTGCCGTTTTTAAGGTGTTGGAGAGCCATACTAATCTCACTAAGACCGGTATATGAACTCACACTTGCGTGTGGTGCCAACGATGTCGTATAAAGCTGCACGTAGAACCTCACAATTTCACTCAAAATCTCAGGTTCCCCGGAAACGATGTTACTACATTCGGTATTCAGCTTCGACAATTGGATCTTTATGGCAGACAGATTTCTTGCTAAGACTTTGGACCCTTGGTTCCACTCGATCGCTTTTTCAATACGATTGCGTAAATTGCGTGAGTAATCAGAACAGACAGATCTCCATGCATCTGGAGATCTGCATGTTCATTAGCCAGTATGCTATCATATCTGCTAAAGATTGCAACTTCATTTCCCTTCTAACAGCCATGAGATTGAGAGTATGATCGGAAAGATTTTGTGTTCTTTTCCGATAGGTCTTGCAGAACTTAGTTCCCACGGCATGGATAGTTTCCACGACCTTGTCATTTATATCGTCTACTGCATTGCATCTGCACTGCATCTTCTAGGTACTGAAAACGATTTTCTAACTCCAGCTGGAAGTATTCGGTACTTTGGATTAGAGCACGAGGGGGAGCGGAGCGTCGACTTCATTAGTTGTGTTCTCTCCAACTTAAAGTTTGAATTCAGTGAGCCTCTCATCATTCGATGATCGTTGCCAGTTTTCACATTTGCGATCAATGAGACATCATTGAACAGTTAGAAGAAAGGGTTCATCATAAATAGTTTTACTGTACTCCAAATCATTTTTTATGGAACCGAATTCTGTCACTCTCCTCCAGTGTTAATTGATAGACTTTATTATGTTCTCGAAATTATTTCAATATTTTGGAGATTTAAGTAAAACTTGCCAAGTATCCTTACGGTGTTATTTTCTCCGCGAAGAACGTAGTAAATTAGCATTCAAAGTTAAAGTAAAAAAAGTAACGTAAAGAAGAGCAGTTTCTGCCGACAAGCGATTTAACAAAATTTTGTACGATTTTTTGTAAATATTCTAGACTAGAAAATACAAAGCACTTTTTGAATCAAAAAGATACGCAAACGCGTTCAACAAGTCCTTCTTGTGGGCGATGTAGTGAAATTTAAAAGTGGTGCAATTTACTTACCATGGACTTGAACTAGGATTGCCCGCGTAATATGAATGAAGGCTTGAGGCGACCGCTCAGCTGGTTGTACGAATAAAACACTTTCAATACTAAAATAATATGTCTGTACTTGTTTATTGAATCGAAAACTTTATTGTGGTCGATCGACGCCAGGTGACCACCGCGATTATTATCATCACATAAATAATTGGAATGAATTATTAGTTTTATGAATAATATGATTTTCTTAATAATATGTCAGCATCCGCCTTTCCAATCGATTACAATGTGGGTGTCTTTTTTAAGAGTGATAAACGAGCACACAGTCCACCTGATAGTGAGTGGATGCTGTGGCCCATAGGTATCTACTTTTAACCTCGATTAAGAATCAAAATGCAGATACGTTGTCACCCCTAAGGACTTAGATGGAATGCCTCGATTCCAGTAAAACGGGTCTCTGGTTTTCTACACTCACCATACAAAACACAGCAGCATTAAGCCACAATTTTACGCTGGTATTCTTTGAGAGGGTGGTCCTTCCCCGATCGAGCCGACCCATTCGTGCTACAACCATAATAAAGCTTCAGCGTGGCTGTACCAAGTATAATTATTATAACATAAGTGCTAAAAGCGAAGTATAAAAGTAATTTCAAAACAACATTATTAAAAAAATGGCGAAAAATTACGGAATCGCATCGAAAATGGCCACATGGATGACAATTACTGACAATAGATTTTTGACACATAGCCGGGATGGATGTTTTGACTTTTGAGCGGTTACTGTATAATGAAAGAGTGGAAGAAGAGGCTATGCCATAACTACTCCAAGCAAAGCATTTGCTCGTGTTTTGATCTATTGTTTAAGATAACTTAAAAAAATCAGTCACATCTACCATGATTTTATCACACACTCGCCTACATAAATAGTCACACAATTATAGCCTTCGTGTATTAAAATAATACGTACATTATTAGAAATGTGTCAGTGGATAGACATCAACAAAAAGTTCAATATAATATACTGACCAATATCTTTCTCGAAAAAGGAGTTTTTAGATTAAAATATACGTATCTCTACAATTCTGTAATTCATTTTATAGTTTTTAATTATTAATACCTAATATGAATATAAAATATGTATTACAAAATAGAAGTAAACCATATCATTCGGCGAGTCGTAACCAGAAAGTAAGAGAGAGAGAGAGAGAGAGAGAGAGAAGAACAAAGAAAGTAAGAGAGAGAAAAAAATAGGAGATAGGCAGCAGCATCTTCCTACCAGCAACACAAAATAATAACAAAGCTGCGAAACCACCTGCCAAGCGCGCATCTATAATATCGTATACGGACCCGCCTATGAAGAGGCGGTGACTTTCTGTGATGATGATGATGATGAGTTGTAAAGACTAATGCTATAAAATGATATTTTCACGTGGTAGAGCCACGCTGCAACTATATTATAGTAGCACGAATGGGTCCGCTCGACCGAGGCAGGACCACGCTCTCACAGAATACCGGAGACCCTTTTTACTGGAATCAAAGCATTCCATCTTAGTCCTCAGGGGTGACAACGCATTTGCATTTTTATTCTTAATCGAGGATAAAAATAGATGTCTATGGGCCACACAATGCACTTACCATCAAGTGAACTGTGTGTTCGTTTGTCACCCTATACTATGAAAAAAGATATTTTTACTCTTTATTGTACCCCAAAATACAAAATAACGAGTACAGTTAAATCCATATGTATATCTAATGGTTCATAACTAATAGCTAAGAATTCATTAAAATAATTTATCAACCGATTTAAATGACATAAAAGCGATTTATCAGATCAAAAGTAATAATACATTTTACACGAATGTTTGTGTTAAGACTATTTTCTCATTTTAGCGTCCATGTGCAATTTCATAACGAAGAGATATTTAAAAATACAATAAATTAATAACATAGAATCTGAAGTCCTTTTATATCAATATTTAATAGAACAGAAGCATGCTTACCGAATCAGTAGACGGGCATCACCAAATCAAAAAAATCTTTTAAATTTTGTCTTTTAAATTATTGAACTTCACAGAAAATATAATTTTTAATTTAAATCAAGTGTTCAGTTTTAAATTGAAGTAATTTCTATATCAATATGATAACACAAACACGTATAATTCAACAAAACTATTTGTCAATATGAATGATATTTTAAATAATAGAGATAACAATAATCCAGCGTGTCGCCTAGTGCAGCGACAGCTTTCGTTTGGCTCAAGCAGGGCGTTTGTTTGTAATCGAAAACGCGCATGCGTTCCTACCCTTAAAACAGTTTCCAACTTCACTACACGAAAGGAAATCACTATTGAACATTTTGCGATATCCGCTGTAGGTTTCACAGTGAATTCGCATGCAGGCTTTTAAAATTCAAGAACGCTATCTACTAACTGCGTTCTTGAAAAGGTTTTATTGTAAAAAACTAAAGAACATTTTTGCTGTACGCGTAGTACTTTTTAAAACGCTGTATTTTAAAATTCGAAGCCCAGATAGCTTGCTTAGATTGCAAATTAAATAGAAATCATTTCGAAATGAATTTGATTTTTAAATGTGAATTGTATTTTTTTTTAAATTTTGTTATAGGTATTGTGTTACATGTTAAAATATTTATTGTATACTAGCGATACGATCTAGTTTCGTCTGGGTGGTATCTATTAATCCCTTCACACCTGGGGTAGGTACACATCAGAGCACCTACACTTTATTTTCAATGTGCACGTGGCGACATCTTGTGATGATTATAAACAGTATAACAGTTTTCTAGAGGTTAACATCATTTTATCACCATTTAGATTTAGAGCTAGTTAGTACACATTGGGCGCTCGGCGTTGCGTTAGGCGCGCGCTGATAGCGTACATACACCGCGCTCAGCATGGCGTTCGACGAGCGTTAGCAGGGCGAGTCGCTTAGGTCGGTCGCTTTTGGATTTCATCGATAAAAAATCCGTATCAAAATATATACGCTATACGAAAGTGCGTGATCAAATCACAGATCACTATATACGATCAAATGTACAAGAAAATGGTGGCCCGTGTATATAAAAGCGCGCGACTAATGACCGCGCAACGAGCGTTGTAACCAAAATCGCACTGACGTAAGCAAGTGCTCGTTAGTAACACGTGTGTCGAAACATTGCTAGTAATGAGTATGCTTATTTTGAGCGTGCTCAAAAATCAACCGACGTTCGAGCATGCTACATGCTACATGAGGCGCGGTTACGGGTAGAAGGGGGCGCGCTCCGAGCGCGTCTGAACAGGTTTGCTTATGAGCATGCTAGTATCGAATTGATCTCGATCCGCGACAGTTGCCGCGTCAACTTTAAAATAAAATAAAAAAACTCAATATGTCGCGTTGGGGAAAAGAAAAAACTTTGCTTTTTGTGTCATATTATCGAAGTTACGAATGTCTGTGGAACACTCATTCTCCTTTATATAAAAATAATATTGCACGTAATAATGCTTATGAGGCCTTATTAAAGTACATGAATGATTCAAGTTTGACAATAAAAATGATTAAAACTAAAATTAAAAATCTAAGATCTGTGTATCATGCAGAAGTGAGAAAAATCAACAGTTCGAAGCGGTCCGGAGCTGGCGCAGCAGGCGTTTATAAACCACCCATGCCATGGTTCTCGGAAATGGAATTAATAATGGCAGACACGGACAATTATCGTGAAACTGTTGAATCCGACTTGGTGGTAAGTATCTATTGATCATATGATCTTTCCATGGCAATGCCTCCGTTGTTTCGAAAAGTTGTGCATAAGCTTTTTTTAATGCCACCACTCGTCGAGGGGCGTGATTACTTCGAGTTGCTCGTAAACTTTCCATGGCTATGCGCAATTGATGTCTCCATGATCCTCGTATAACAATATGTTGTTGTATGTATTCAAAATCAGCACATTGTTGGGTAATGTACATATCTCACTTTTCCGAAGCCAATTGTGTAAAGAACAAGCAGCCAATGTAACCGTGTCAATTTTATCTGGTGTCGTATCTATATTATTATTATACAGTAAAATCCCAAAGGCATTTTCAACTATTCGTCTGGCTCTAGATAAACGATAGTTGAATATTTTTTCTTTATGCGTTTGTGTCGTTCCATATGGCTTCATAATATAAGTTTTTAGTGGAAAGGCAGCGTCTCCCATAATGACTAATTACTCTAGTAAGTTGACAGTATTTCTTTCAAGGCCGTTCCCAAGCTCGATCGTTCAGAAACTTCTCCATCGGAATCCCTTCCATTGGTTCCAATATCCACATACGAAAAATAATAATTATGGTCAACTAATGCCAGGAATATACCGCTGTGAGAGCCTTTGTAATTGTAGTAATCTGAAGAGTCATCAGAAGCGAACATATTTATATGTTTTCCATCAATCGCTTCCACACGTCCTGGGAAATTCCATTTCGTTCGAAATCTATGTTCAATGCGCTTCTATTCTTCATAGCCAGGAATCTGAAATACAATAACAACATATCTTAAAACATTTTACACAAATATGTATAAGTACCTACCAAGTCAAGTACAAGTCTAACAAATATTATTTTTTACAGGAGTCTGATAAATCAACACAAAATAGTCAAACAGCTTATGCAAATATAACATCGTCACCAACGCCGCCGACATCGACATCGACACCGCCGTTCACTCAAACTGAGAAATCACGCTCATCTGACGATTATTTAGGAAGACGAAAAAAAGTGAAGAAAATAGAAGAAACAGATGGTGTTGCTGAGGCTCTAAATCGCTCACAAAATATATCTTCCGCGATTAACAACCGAAGCGAAGAAGACGAGTTTCATTTTTTTGGATTGAACGTAGCATCTCAACTGCGGCAACTTCCATTATACGAAGCATTAGGCGTACAGACTGAAATACAAGCAATTTTGACTATGGCTAGACGTCGAAATATGTATCCTGATTTGTCTGCTCATATACAATCGAATTAAAATCCAATTTCGAACACACAAACCTACACCTATTCATCATTAAACATTAAACCCATTCAACAATTCCAGCTTCGAACACGCAAACGAACACCCTTAAATCTTCAAACATTTAACCACTTCCAGCCTCAAACACAAGCCTAAAAGCTTTAATATTCAAACATTGAACCCCTCACTTGTGCTTCGAAAACACAAACGAATACCCTTCCATCTTCAAATTTTCAATCCATCAATTATTCTACACTTCACTTTCCAAAATACAAAACGATGCAGATGCACGCAATGCCCAATCGCAACAAGGTCAAGATCAAATAAATTTGTTGAGTGAGGCACGGAAACTTTCGTAAATTATTCGCTACTATTTTGATTATTATTATAAATATGAATACATGATAAAAAATTAATCGTTGCCATTTTTATTAATATACTAAATATAAAAAGGTGTTAAAAATTATTTGCTGCCATTTTTATTTATATTCGAAATATTCATACAACATCGTTTTACTTACCCGAGCATAATTTTTTTATACGATAGAATTATAAACGAGCGCACAGTCCACCTGATGGTAAGTGGTTGCTGTGGCCCATAGACATCTACATCTATCCCCGATTACGAATCAAAATGCAGATGCGTTGCCACGTTCGAATGCCTCGTTTCCAGTAAAAAGGGTCTCAGGTTCTCTACACTTACCATACGAAACACAGCAGCATTAAGCTATTATTTTACGCTGATATTCTGTGAGAGCGTGGTCCTTCCCCGGTCGAGCCGACCATTCGTGCTACAACTATACTACTAACATAACTACAGCATGGCTCTACCACGTATAAAAAGAAGAAAGAAATTCTTTAAAGCTATGGATATTGCAGCACAATCTTGAGGTATAATTTCAGATATTGTAGATCTTCCAACCCTGTGATAATGTGTATATGGGAACCTCCGACAGCTAAATATCTCAATGTAATTTCAAGTTTTACTTTAGCTGGAGTAGCATCCCGCATACAAATGTTTCGTTTTTAGGGTTGAGAGGGGGAACACGAGCATACCGTTCACCTGATTAGAAAGTAGCTCATAAAATTTGTGCAGGAGTATCCGCAAATGATTTTTACATCTGTCGAGATCTTCGCTTCACAGCTCTGCCAACAATCGATTACTTGCTCCCAGTGATTCTCTTCTGTTTATCCAATTACCAACCCAAATCTTCTTTTTTTGTTTTTTCTTTTTCACCAAAATGTTCTTACATAATTTGGTTGCGAGCAATATGATTATTTTATTTAGTTCTGTACGGATAGCACTGTCACTATATCTTTGTACGTTCATTTTGGCTGAGAGCCTGGAGCCAAATAGCACGTCTATCCAAAGTTTGCTTTGAGCATGCTTATTTATGAGTATTCTTTAAGCGTGCATATTGCTGGCAAATGTGAATAGTTGCAGAGCACGCTAATTTTAAGCAAGCTTATGAGCATGTTTTTAGCACGTTTGTCCTCACCGAAGCGCGTGTTGGAATATAGCGTATTTTATACGTGTTAGAGTCTTGCAGCAGCTATATTATGGTTGTAGCACGAATGGGTCGGCTCGACCGGGGAAGTACCACGCTCTCACAGAATACCAGCGTGAAATAGCAGCTCAATGTTGCTGTGTTTCGTATGCTGAGTGTAGAGAACCGAAGACTCATTGTACTAGAAACGAGGCATTCCATTTTAATCCTCAGGAGTGACTACGTATCTGCATCTGCTGCATCTTGAATCTTAACCAAGGATTAATTTAGATGTATATGGGCCACATCATCTTCTTGCCACCAGGGAGAGTGTGTGCTCGTTGGTCACCCTTATTCTATTTAAAAAATGTGCGGATGTATCGGGTACTACAGCTATAATATAGCTGCGGCGTGGCTCTACCACGTATAAAATATTTTAATATTTATACTTCTTCAGTCTTATTACAAAACTTGGTTTATTAATAGCTTCACGTCTTTCTTAAGAAAAAGTCTCTTAGCCGCGGAGCCGCAGTTATCTAGTATATATTTTCGGAGAATTCTCGTAACACTCGTGTAACGGATTTTAGCTTAAACCTGAGCAAATAATAAACTACTTACTATAATAATTTGGATAATGTTTAATACATAATCTCATTGAACATAAAGCTCCATTTGAGCCACCACAGCTCTCTTTCGTAAAACGATTATACTTTTATCATAAAATCATTAATATATATTAAGTGTTACCTTGCAGTACCGATTACAATATCTTATTACTTCGATCAACATTCGGTTGAAATGCTCCTCTAGTACAAAATAATTTCCTTAATGACTTCCCTTTGCAGGCGGAGTGACGATTGTAGTAGATGTCTCCCACCTTTTGAGCTGCTGCTAATATATACGAGTAAGTGCTAGAGATCTAACTATCGGATATATTTTCAGTTAAAAAACAACAATAGTTATTTATTATCATCTAGCAAAATTTACGGCTCATATACTAAAACTTTGACAAATTTTACTAGCTACAAATACAATCATTATAACTGTTTATCATAATATGTATTAGTATACGGTTATAGTGATAGTAACTAAAACTACACTCATTATCATCAGCTTGTTATGTCTATTGATTAACGTAGACCTTTCTCAAAAGCTGGCTTCATATTTCAAGTCGACATTTTCGAATGAATAAGCCGCCATTTTGATTGTAGGTCGTGAGCCCCGTTCTTCGTTAACATGTCCCTGTAATGATAATAATGAATCTTCAGTATAATCATTTGACTTCAACACTCAACTCCCTAGTCTAGACGGAACACGAAAATACGATATACCTCCGCCGTAAAAGAATATTATATTCTGTTGGGTACTCGATTTCGTTGTTCTATACAATAAACGTATTTTTTTTTAAATAACTGTTTCTTAAAAGGCCTTCTCTTATACAGGATATTTTCTAAGGTATTTTGCCTCGTCGATCTAATGATTGAAAGCACGAATGCTGAACATGCAGTCCGGGTTCAGTTATTAGGTTTTTCTCTCTTAAATTATCCGTAGCAGCTTGGAGTCAGGATGTTTGGCGGTGTTTTCCCCTGGTCACTCGGAAACCACATAAAGCCGTTGGGACTGCGCTTGTTGTGCTCGTGTTGGATTGCCGTTCAATCGGACATTGAGAGTGAGGAAATAGAAGAGTGCAACTGTGTTCGCCCACACACTCATGCACTATAATTCTGCCCTGCGCAGATTAAAAAAATAGTTATAGTTAGTATGGTTATAGTTATTATTAATACTTGTTTCCGTTGAGACCGGCTATCATGACCGGTTCTTGGTTCATTCATGAGCACACATCATTCGGTCATGAGTACAGTTGAGGCGAAAATCACGTTGATTGTACACCAATGTTGTGAAAATTTACTGCCAGTAACAAATAAACTATTTTATTTGATGCTTTTTATTAAAATATTTAATATTTTTTAATTGTTCCATTTTCAAATTTATCAGGAAATATTCTGTCTAATCTTTTCGATGATACATATTCATAACTTGTCAGTCTCAAACTACCTGAGACTAAAACATAGCTTTTAAGTAAGTTAAGTAAGAGATTTTAGAGTTCATGATTAAAAAGTATCTTTTCTCATCCTTTTTATATGTGTAGCATTAGACTGTTTGTAATGAAAACTTTTAATTTTGTCGTATACAAGTGCCCCACCTCAGCTTCACTTGAGTGGGATTTATTAATGTGGCGTCATTTAGATTTTATCATCAACCAGCGTTCCGTCCCTACTTCGCACGGGTGATTTCTGGATTTCCGCAAAAGCGCCATCTATCGGGTCCAAATGTGAATATAAACCTTCAAGGGATCCATTACATACACAGAAAAAAATTCATCAAGATCCGTGGGATGGTTTCAAAGTCTTTATCGGACATAGGTAAAAGAAACTTTTTTTTTGTTTTTTATATAGATATATGACCAATTATTTTATAAATTTTTCGATTCCAAAAATACTCGTAGTTTTCTAAATAAATTATAGTCTTGATCACTTTTTCTATAGAATAAGGTTGACAAACGAGCACACAATCCACCTGATGGTAAGTGGATGCTGTGGCTCATAGACATCTACATTTATACTCCATTACGATATAAATTTACTTCTGGCATTGCTTTCTACTTTATCGTGAAGTTGTATCAACACCGGTTTAGGTATTACAAGGATTATCACGGACATCATATTCATGTCTTAAAATAACCACTTGTGCTCGATAATAGACAGTTTTTTCGATATTACATACCGACACTTCAAATTCATTTATATATGATTAAATTTAAACCATCAAATACGTAACTTGTTTATTCTTATTTTAATTTAAAAAGTTATCTAAGATATTCTGCCTAAAACACAGTGGAAACACCACCGACCTCAGTAAGTAGATCCCGACGCAACCCGACCTCTTCAGTACAATAACTTATACCGCTGCGGCGGGGCATTGCCTGTCTAGCCAGGAACTACAAGTAATTCGTATATAATGGCCCGGCTACACGCTCCGTCTTGCCTGCGCAGTTCAGGCCTGTGCACTGTGCAGTCATGGCTGTACAACGGCTCGTGCAGGTAAGCTCGCGCAAACTGGACTGTTAAACCTCAAAGTGTTTTGAGAGTTGTCACGTCATGATATGGCCAGAAGAGGTTTTTTTTTAAACGGAACCTCATATTATTGCATATACAACATGTAACAAAAACCCTGTGGTTCCCGTTAACTGCGTTATCAGAATCAGTATCCAAGCATATAGAAATGATTTAAAAAACACATTATAAAAAATTATTTTAATGAAAAAAAAATTAATTTGCAAATTTTATGTTGTTTTATTATTTCTGCATTGGCAGAGGAGTAAGAGAATTGTCAAAGACCCCGCATTACCGATACTCGTGTGAGTTAGAGGAAATAAAACCACATACAATTTGCAATTTTTTTTATTAAAATTAATTTTTTAATGTGTTTTTTGAAAAAAAAATATTTCTACGCGCTTGGATACGGATT